CTATTCCTGAATCACACCCCAATACCCCATCCCTGAACCACACTCCAGCACCCTATTCCTGAATCACACCCCAATACCCCATCCCTGAACCACACCCCAATACCCCATCCCTGAACCACACCCCAATACCCCATCCCTGCACCACACCCCAGCACCCCATTCCTGAAGCACACCCCAGTACCCCATCCCTGCACCATGCCCCAGTACCCCATCCCTACACCACACCCCAGTACCCCATCCCTACACCACACCCCAGTACCCCATCCCTACACCACACCCCAGTACCCCATCCCTACACCACACCCCAGTACTCCACATCTACACACCACACTCCCTAGTCTTCACGATATAGACATTTTCTTCCTTATTCATAAACTACACTTCAGCTTCCTTCTGTCCCCTGATAATCATATAGCCTATTATAGCTAAAACATCATTTAAGAATGATGTAGCCCAATCTCTATATTTTATCAATGTGGAAAGGATGGCTCAAAAGAATTAAGAGTCTGTTTTTCTAGGCCACATGTATCAACAGCCCAAGGATCCTGGTTCTGGAGCATTTCTCTTATAGTTTTCCATACTCCCCAGTGTGAAGAAGAGTCTTGCAGTTTGCCTTACTGATGCCTAATGTTACATTTTTTTTAGGAGAGGATAAAAACAAGAATTGATTGCTGGCTTATTGTCTGATTTCTGTACTTTTGATAATGAGGTAACAATGGCTGAGATTCATCTTGAGAAACATTTTTTTAAGAAGGAAGTTTTTGCCCATAGGCACTGGCCAGTTTTCCTTTTAAAACATTGTACCCTACCTTCCTAAAGAAGCATCTTTAAAGTTCTCTGAATTCAGAAAGAGGGGCATATCATACATGCTTTACATCACCTACTTAGACAAGTGATTCTGTCAGCGGACTGGGGAAACTAAGTCACACACACACACACACACACACACACACACACACACACAGCTGATTGGCTGCAGTTTTACAAAGGGATTACTTATAGCACTGTGGCCAATACAAGATGCAGAGCAGCCAGAGACCAAGGTCAGCAACAGCAGCTGGGCAGCTACCACACACAGGCTTCAGTGGTAGGAAAGGGACCAGTGAGGATGAGAAGCAGAGCACGGTGTCTAGAGAGACTAGAGTGTGCAGTCAATGGAGAAACCATAGCAACAGAGATGCAGGGTGAAACACCTGGCCTCGTTTACCTCCTCCCTCACTGCGGCTCACAGGGCTGGCCACTGGATTGAGGAGGAGAAAGCGCTTAGATTTAGTCCTGATGATTCTCACGAGTGGAGTGAGAGAACGCTATGCAAGCCTCCAGGAGAGGCATGGAAACTATTCCTCACAGCTTGCTTCAACACTACATTTCCAAAACCGCTCTTGAATGCCTACTCAAAGTCAGATTCTTTCTCCCAAAGGCTATCTCCTCTATGTCAAGCTTCCCACCCAGTCCCCAAAGTCTGAAATTCCCATCTGAATTATCTGACCATATTCATTCTTTCACAGTGTCACAGATTTAAGGCCCTTTTGGTGCAGGTTAGGATGACTGATTCTGTACTCCAAGAAGCTGAAACATGGTAGTGTCACTGGCAACCTAGAGAGCAGAGGGTGAGAGGTGAATCCTTCTCTTCTCCACACCGTAGTGGGTGGCACCAGACAAAACTCCTCCTCCTCCTTGTTCTCTTAGCCTTCAGGTATTTCGCCAGAAGAAAAAAAAAAAGGCCACCTGATGGATCTAATGGGGAAAATCACTTAATCAGGGAAAGTTTTGGGATTTTTTTTGTTTTTGTTTTTTGTTTGTTTGTTGTTTGTTTTTTGGTTTTGGTTTTGTTTTGTTTTGTTTTTGATGACTATGTCCTAAAACATAAAATTCCTCCGGGTAACCTTCAAAACGACTGTGAATAGTTTCTCCCTCCAAGCCATTTATTCAATATGGCCTAACACTACTTGTCTCAGTTTCGCCAAATAAAGCTGTATTTTCAGCTTTCTAGAATTTTCTTTGCTCCTCACCAAGGCAAATCCACTCCTCATGAACTCCCTTCCTTTTTTGGTATCATTTCTAAGGAAACCGGTCTCCTCTGCTTAGAGCATGGGTGGTGTTGCTGTGGAAGCCCTGCAGACACGGACACCCCTTTGTGCCCTCCTCCGTCACTGACACAGTTGTCACAGGTACCCTTCCGCCAGCCCAGCCAGCCGTGACCCCTCTCAGACCTGGCAATACTAGCAGAAGTTTGTCTCTTCTTGTTTGCACCCTCCGAACTGTCCCTCGACTCTCTTCCACTGGGCAGAGTCATCTTTTCTTCCCAACTATGTGTATTTTCGAAGCCCATCTGTCTCCCCCAGCTGATTTGGCCATGGAAGGGAGTGAATTGAGAGACATTCAGAGAATCACTCTTAATGGAATAATTTCCCCAACCATAACTATTCCTCAAATCTTTCAAAAATATTTTTTATTAAGGCTGGTGTAGATGTAACCAACTGTCTTATTAAATAAGAAACAGAGCCAATACAGAGATGGTTACATCTACGGGTTGGGGACATGGCTTAGGAGTGAGTAGAGCTCTCACCTAGGATGATGTATGAAGCCTGTATTCTGCCCCCAGCATGAGAAGGAAAAAAACTTATTAAATGAATCAATGTTGGGTGGGGTGGCGGCAACAAAAATTCACGTGTGATACATTATGAAGCAATAATGTATCATACAAAATCTACATAGAAATAATCAACTTGAGTTGATTATAGATAAGGGATTGATAATAGATCCACTGTCAAATTGATAAATAAAATGTGGGATGTGTGCACAGTAGGATATTATGCAGCCTTAAAGAGAAACCCTGTCATCTGTAGCAACACAGATGGGCCTGGGCGGCACCATGTTAAGTAAAGTCAGGGACTGAAGGGCAGATATTACATGTTGTCATTTACATGAAGAATCTACAGAGCTTATCTCAAGACATGGAGAACAGAATGTGCTTACCAGTCTCTGAGAAGAGTTGGGGGTCACAGGGACGGGACAGATAAAGGTGCAGCTGGCAGGAGGAAATAGCTTCCCGGTGATCTGGAACACAGTAGGATAATACGGCTCACCACAACTCGTTGAATATCTCTTATATTTTTATTCTATGTGTTTTTTACACGTAGATCATGTATCTTGATCCCATTCATTTCCCCATCCCTTTGCATCTGCCCTCCACCCCCGCAAACCCCCCAAATAAAACAAAATTTAAAAGAGGGAAAAAAGAAAATTTAAAAAAGAGAAAAACTTAAAAATCTGGTCATGGAAGCTGTGGTGTGACACAGTGAGTCACTCCTTGAACCCTTTGTCCATGCATCTTTACTTGCAAGTGTTCCTTGCAGAGTCATTGGTCTGGTTCGAGGCCTCTGGTTTCTACTACACTATCAATGCTGGGCCCTCACTAGGACTCTTTTTGGATATCCTGGTGTTGCCCTCTGTTGTGGAGATCCCTCAGCTTTGGGTCTGCAGTTCAGGTCCCTTCATGTGCTCCAGCAGATCATAGATGGGGTGGATGATGGGGTAGGCCAAGTCACATCCCTTGGGTCTGAGCCTGGCAGCTGTAGGATTGGTCTGCCAGATGTGAAATGGGAACAGCTTTCCCACACTTACAACTTTGGGGCTGGCTCCCCCACACCTGCACTAACAAGGTTGGCTCCACTGTGCTTCTCTGGTGAAGTGCAGGGCCTGCTCTCCCGAGTGTTGCAGCTAGTGGGGGTCAGAGATAGTTCTCCCACTCTTATGACCAGAAGGCCAGCTCTCCCACCTCCCTCAGGTGTTGATGGGTAGACAGAAGGCATCATTCCCTCAACCATGCCATCACAAGACAGATGAGAAGTGGGGGAGAACCCTCCCATGCTCACAACTTGAGGGCTGGCACACTCACACCTGTGCTAAGCTGGTGAATATCTTGAAGTATCCAGTAAAGAGGATTTCCAATGTTCCCCAACATAAAGAAAAGCATTTGTCGAGGATATAGATATGCCAATTACCTTCATATAAATATTACATATAATACATAGATGTGGAAATATCATACTGTATACAACTAGTATGCCAACTGAAAATAGAAATATTTTTAAATCTGTGCACAATTTTTATATGGGAAAGACTAAAAAAGTATTATGAATAAAAACTGTTAATTTGATTAGGTAATAAAATCATTGAGAATTTCAAATTCCCAAGTTTGAAAATGAGTAGAGGACATACAGTCTGGGAAAGATTGTGTGGACCTGCTCCTTCCTGGCCTGCCCAGCTAGAGACAGCTATAAACTCAGATAGAAGAATTTGGAATGTTGGAAAGAAGGACTAGTTAGAGACCTCACTAGTCCTTGGATAAGGGGTAGAAAAGTTGCCTCTTCTGACCTTGCATCCAACAGAATAAATGCATTTCCAACCTCCTAGCTACCAACCAAGTAGCTGGGTACCTCATTTCTCCCCTGGATCAAATAAATGCAAGTCAAACACCAGACATGTTTGAGAGCACTACAAAATAATCAAAGAAGTCTTGTTGATCATAATAAGTGGGAGCTAGCAGGTGTCCAGGGAACACCAGCAAGAAGAACTCTGTCAAGACAGGGAGCTCAACCCAGAAAGCCTTTGTACTCCCACCTACTGGCCCTCATAGTCCCCACATCCAAGAATCCAGACCAAGACACGAGATTTTTAAAGTTCTTGAAGATAACTACAGAAAAACTATTTTGGAATAAGCCAGAGAAAAATGTGACATTAACTAAAGGAGAAAACAAGTTGAATGACAACATATTTCTCTCATCATGGAGGCCAGAGGAAATGGCATAACATTTTTTTAAAAGTTCTAAAAGGAGAGAATTGCCAACCATAAATGTTATATCCAGCAAAACCATCCTCCAGAAATAAAGGGAAAAGTCAAGATCCCCAAGTAAAGAAAGTAGAAGTTTATCACTAGAAGAATGTCTCTTAAGAATGCAAGGGAGGGTCCTCAAACAGAGAAGAAATGGTTAAAGACAGAAACCCAAGGCTTTCTGAAAGAGGAAAGAATAAAACTGTGGCTTACATGCAATGGATTATAGCTCTTGGTGAGTTTTATTTTGAAGCAACACTAGTGTTAAAATATGGTAAAGATAAAGGGCATTAAATGGAAGTCAGGTTTTCACAGTTCACTGGAAATAGTAACATATTGAAACCAGTATATGTTAATAACTGAAATATGTATATTATAATAGCAAAGGAAGCTGTGTCTGATATAGCAAAGCACTAAACATGTTAATAGAATCTACAAGGTAATCATAAACAATTTGCAAACAAGTAAAAAAGAAAAGAGAGAACCCAAAGAAGAAGCTTAATGCTTAACTTAGGCCTCTCATGAAACAGAAGATGAGAGACCCCCATAATGATGAAGTGCTACAGCAGCTGGGATTCATATTCGGATTACCCATGAGGTGGAGGGATCCCCAAGTTGCCTACCTTGGGGAACAGGAATGCTAGTCTCTATAGCCTTTCCTGGAAAAGAAAAGAAGCAATGCTTTATTTATTTGTTTGTTTGCTTACTTGGGTTGCTTCCCACACACACACACACACTATTGAGGGTTGAGTTCATGGTCTCTCACATGCTAGGTAAAGGTTCTCCTACTGGGCTACATCTCCAGCCCAAGAAGACTGCAAACTGTCTTGAGCTGGTAATTCTCCCTTGTGCCCAGACTGATTAGTGTAAAGTCACTGATACAGAAAGCTACAGAAAGCCTATCAACACAGGCTTTGCGAGATCCTATGAAGTCTCACTGAGGATAAATTCACAAACCAAAGTTCTATAACACTGGATGAAAAAACTACCACATGAGAAAAAGCTACAGTAAGCTACAGGCTATGTCTGCTGCTGTGGTTTATGTATTTTTATTTTCATCCATGGTTCTTGGCTCATAAATCCCATAACCCCTTGATATTTCCTGAGTGACTAGAACAGTAACGATAATTATGATAGAACAGTATTTTGACCTTTTGCTCTTGCTTTTTGAATCGACTTTGGAATGAATGGCTTCAGTGTGATCTTTTGTTGTTGTTTGCTTGTTTTGTTTTGTTTTGTTTTGTTTTGTTTTTAACAAGACAAGGTTTCTCTGTGCAGCCCTGGCTGTCCTGGAACTTGCTCTAAATAGATCAGGCTAGACTTGAACTCAGAAATATACCTGCCTTTGCCTCCCAAGTGGGATTAAAGGTATGCACAGTTACCACCCCACCACCATCTGGCTCAGAGTGATAATCTTTAATTATATTTATAAGTAATAATTAGTAGTAGTTTGTGTATGCATGTACACACACACACTCATGCACCAGACAGTGCGTATGTGCAGAAGCTGGTTCTCTCCTCCTTCATGTGGGGCCTGGAGATCAAACTCAGGTCATTGGTCTTGGCAGCAAGTACATTTACCCACAGAACTCTATCACAGCCCCAGAGTGATTCACATTTTAAATTAACATACAAAGGAGTGAATTTAATTCTGACATAATTACCAATATATTTGGTTCCTATTTGTCCCCTTGCCCTATTGACACCCCCCCCATACTCTTTACTCCTCACTGTCCCCTTCCAGAATGGTACCTTCTTCTCCACCCAAGCATTCTTCTTGGACCACAGGAGCTCTCTCGCCAGCTCACTGCCTCCCTCCTTCCCTTCTTCCATCTCAATCCTTCCTATAGTACTTCACTTGTCCCTTTCTTTTCTCAAAGGTATACCATAGAAATTAGAGTTTCTTTTCCTCACAGTGGGTCATAGAAACTAAAAGTGTATTCTAATCATCCATTCCCTGTCTCCTGATGTGAGTAGACCATAGAGAAATTCTCTGATCTACCTTACCAGCTAGCAGATTCTAAGATTCCCGTTCCAGAAGGGGGTCCTGTTCTCTACCCTGGAGGAGGAGATGCAGGACAGATGGGCCCTGCAGGGTTTCCCCACTCTGTCTGCTAGCATTAGGGCACACCCTTTTGTCCAATCCCATTTCTACATAGGTGCTCATGCTTACATCCTGGTTGTGCAAAGACATCTCTGTAAAAACCCAAAGAACAAGTTAGAAGCAGAGAGCTTCTGGGCAGCTGAGCATTGGAGGCTTGGAGGAAGAGGATAGTGCTCATTTGCCTGCGGGGAGGTGTTATGCTCCAACTGCAAAGAGCAGAGGCTCCTGGACCCAGTTCCCTTCCAGACTTCACTTTCACCCAATGCTTGCTAGGATTTTTTAAGTGTCCTTGATGATAGTGGTGGTTTGAAAGAAATTGGCCCCCATAAGGAGTGGCACTATTAAGATGTGTGGCCTTTTGGAGTAGGTGTAGTCTTGTTGAAGGAAGTGTGTCACTATGGGGGCGGGCTTTGAGGTCTCTTTTCTCACGTTTCAGTCCGTGTGACAGTCAGTCTACTTCCTGTTGCCCTCTGGTCAAGATGTAGCCAGCACCACAGCTGCCATGCTCCCCATCATGATGATAATGAACTAAACCTCTGAAACTGTAAGCCACCACCTCAATTAAATGCTTTCTTTGTGGTCTTGTTGTCTCTTCACACAATAAAAAAAAAAAAAATCCTGAGATAATGATAAACCCATTAGTAAAAGTACAGTTTTTCTCTGAGTTCCCTGAGCTGAGCTGGAAGAGGGGGTATGGAAGCCCCATTTTCTAGACATGGGTCAGAAGTTATGAAGGCCTGGACTTGTGGCTGATGTCCAACATGAGACCCACCTGAAGGACTGAGCCCTCAACCTGTGGGAAACGACACCATCTCCAGGTGGGGAGCAGCAGGTCTGAAATGAACTGGAGGCCAGCCAGCTGGTGTCCTCTGCAGACTTGCGTGCTGGCTGGTGAAGAGCCACCTCTGTGCATTCTGGCATCACAGAAGGGCACTGTGTTTTCATTTATGTTAGGAGACACTGAGAGCGAGCTGGCTTTCTGCCGGAACATCCGGGCCTTGAAATAAATTAATTCAGCTATAGTAGATGAAATGTATTTGTTTTTAAATTATAAAGGAAGCAGGAGGAAAATAATGCAAGGGGAAGGGATGGAAGGAAGGGTGAAGCAGATACGAAAATGCACCCAAATGGAAGTGTGACAGATGGAAAATATATCACAAGCACACAGAAAGTAGGGTGACATGACTCATGTGTGTAAAGCCCTACAACCAGGGGAAGGTGTGAAGAGTCGCAGCATACTCTGGCTGCCAGGGAAGGACTGCAAAGACTCAAAGGAGGAGGCACTGGAAGGCACAAATCAGAAGACAGTGGCAGTTTTGCCATGTGTCTTTCGCTATTTTGAGAGACTCTCACTGTACAGTCCAGACTGGCCTCACTCTTACTGTATGCCCCAAGCTGGCCTTGGACTTGAAATCCCTTCTAGGTCTTCTAAGTTCTGGGACTATAGACATAAGTCCTCATGTCTGGCTTAGGAAACACATTGTATTTTTTAACATTTGTTTATTGTGAATGTGTGTTTGTGTGTGCATATATGTGTGCCACCATGCACATTTGGAGGTCATAGGACAACTTGTGGTTCTCTCCTCACACCACATGGGTTCCAGAGATCAAACCCAGGTTGTCAGGCTCGGGGGCATTGACCTTGGTGGTAAGCACCTTTAACCACTGAGCCATCTCTCTGGCCTCAAGAAATATATTTCTATTTGGTACTCATGACATATTTCTCTAAACATTTTATTCTCAGATAGTTACTCATATTCAGTTGTAAAAATAATGTAAAGCATTTCCACATGTCCTTCATGCAGTGATGCCTGACCGTAACATCTTGCATTACACAATCAAAATACCAACACTTCCATTACCACAATATGAAAGCACTCACACCCACGTCTACAGCCACATTAACTTCCTGTCTTCATCCTGTCTCTAACTGCCAGCTACTGCTAACCTGCTCTCCATCCTCATCAGTTCAACACTTTATATACATCAAGGAAACAATGGGATTCTTCACTCAGTGTGCACCTCTGGGAATCCATCCACACTGGCATATATTCCATCAGTTTGTCCCTTTTTTTTTTTTCCCTGAATGGTGTATCATTGTGTGTATGAGCCACAGTACAATTGCTGGACTGGCATATAACTGCATGGTGTGTGTGTGTGTGTGTGTGTGTGTGTGTGTGTGTGTGTGTGTGTGTGTGCACGCGCGCTCATGTTCACATGTGAGAGGCCAGAGATAGATGCTGCCTGTCTTCCTCAATTACTCTTCATCATATTTTGGACCCATTCTCTTACTGGACCTAGGGCTCAGCAGTTGCCCAGACTGACTGGCCAGCAGCTCCTGCAGTCCTCTGCCTCTGCCTCCCAGCACTGGGATTGCAGACACATTCCTGACTTTTATGTGGGTGCTGGGATCTGAACTCAGGTCCACCTGCCTGCACAGCAGCACTTTATCTGCTGAGCCGCCTCCCCAGCCCCACATCCAGTTGTTTTTTTAACTGCCCAAGTGCTTCCTAAAATGCTGTGCCATTTTTCAGTCTCACTTGCAGTGTGTAAGTGATCGAGTTTCTCCACAGCAACAGCATCTAAGATTCTTACTGCTCTATAGTTAGCTACTCCGGCGGGTCTGTCGCAGCATCGCATTATGGTCCTCATTGGGATATCCCCAGTGGCTAAGGACATTGACATATTTGCCTGCAGATCCTCCTATGGATCCTCTTCGGTGAAATGTCTGTTCATATTTTTCAGACGTCTTCTGATTGGACTTCCTGTGTTGAGTTCTCGGGGTTCTTTGTGTTGTATCGTCTAGGTTCTGATTCTGTTGGATGTGTGGTTGCAGCCGTTTTCTCCCAGGTAGAGTTTGTCTATTGGTCTCCCTAACAGCCTTTTGCAGAAGTCTTTAATTTTAATGAAGCCCCATTTGTCAGTGTTTCCTTTTATGGATTGTGCTATAACACATTGTCTAGGAATTCTGCCTAAACCTAGATTCTAACGGTCTCCTATATTTTGTTCTAAAAGTTTTGTAGTTTTGTATTTTGCATGTAGGGTCGTGATTGATTTGGGGTGAATTTTTGTGTGAAATGTAAGACAGAGTGAGGTTTATATATGTGCCATTTACTGTGTGAACTGTCTAGGTGCTCAGGGGCAGGTTCTCAAAAAGGCTCTCTTCCCCCTCTGAGTTACTCTCTACCCTTTGCCAGAAATCAGTCGGATCCGTTTTTTGCAGGTCTAGTTCTGTGTTTTCTTTTTCCCTTTTTTTTTTTTTTTTTTTTTTTTTTTTCGAGATAGGGTTTCTTTGTGTAGTTTTGGTGCCTGTCCTGGATCTTGCTCTGTAGCCCAGGCTGGCCTCGAACTCACAGAGATCCACCTGCCTCTGCATCCTGAGTGCTGGGATGAAAGGTGTGCGCCACCACCTCCTGGCTAGTTCTGCATTTTCTATTCTGCCCCACTGACCTTTGTGTTTATTCTCTGCCAACATAAGTAAGACACAATGTTTGTTTGTTTGTTTGTTTGTTTGTTTTGTTGTTGTTTTGGTTTGTTTGTTGAGACAGGGTTTTTCTGTATAACGCTGGAATTTACTTGGTAGACCAGGTTGGCCTCAAACTCACAAATATCCACCTGCCTCTGCTTCCCGAGTGCTGGGACTAAAGGCGTGCATCACCACTACCTGCCCTAAGACAAATCTTAACACAGCTGCTGTATGATAAATTTCAGCATAGGGAAGACTGATTTTTTTCCCCAAAATTATCTTAGTCGAATTTTCTTGCCTTTCCATGTAGATTTGGGAATATTCTTATCTATGTCCACAAAAGACAACGCAGGACTGGTAAGGTGCCTCAGAGGTTAATGTGCTTGCCACACAAGTATAAAGACAGAAGTCTGGATCCCTACAATCCATGTAATGCCAAATGGGCATGGTGGCCAAGCCTCAGAAACCAGAGACAGGGGATCCCCAGAGCAAACCGCTAGCAACACCAGGCACATTGGCAAGTTCTAGGTTCCTTGTCTCATTGAGTAAAATGCATGAACCATCAAGGATGATTCTGACATCAGCCTCTGGCCTCCACATGTACATGGAGCCTTATACATGTATACTCTTCACATACATGCAAACACACCTACATACATACACACACACACACACACACACACACACAAACACACAAATGGAAAGAAAAAACTTTGCAGAAATATTGATAGGAATTTTGTTAAGCCTGTACATCAATTTGAGATGAAGTGAAGTGTTACTGAGTTTTCTAACCCATAAACACATGCTTGTCTCTTTTGGGTCTTTGTGGTCTTCCTCAGCACTCATAATGCAGTTCTGTATATGTTTTCTTAGATTCATACTCAAATATTCCACTTTTGAGTGAATATATCTTTCATTTTTCAGCTGCAGTATCCATGTGTCTACTGCTATAAATCATTTCATATTTGTCTGATTTCTTGGGGCCTTGCTGATTTCATTCATTAGGATACAGGGTATGTCTGGCTTAGTTTGAAGGATTCCTTAAGAGCTTCCAAACGGTCAATCACGCTATCTACCAAGGAAAACTATTTCTTCCTTTTGTCTTTTCTTTTTCTGTCTTGATATACTCTTGTGTGGTCCCAACATCATATTGAATGTGGACGATGGGACTGGCCATCCTTGCTTCATTCTCAGCCTTGAAAAGAAAAAAAATTCACTAGAGCTTAGCTTTCTCTTTTTTGTTCTTTGTAGTTGACATTCCTCTGTTTTCTTCCCGCAATCTTTTTTCCTTCCCAATATCTTCCTCATCTCACAGCTTTCCTTGAACAGCTTTGTTTGTTTGTTTGTTTGTTTTGGTGTGGAGGGGACCATTTCATTTGTCTATACTGCTTCTGAGTCTATTTTTGCATGGCCTTTTACTTACTAGTAATCACTTCGTCACCATGGTATCCGAGTACATCTCACCAATGGGGATGCTTACTTTCTACTGGCCCTCCGGTACTCGTCCAGCAGGAAGGGAAGGGCAGCCTCACTACTGCAAGTAGAAGAGGAAGCCCAAGCTCGAGGGTTCCCCAAGTGGTCCCCACTGCTGGAGGACTTGCATGTGGGAGGAAGAAGGCCTGTGGTCGTTGTTCCTGTGTTCACGAAAGGAAGGTTGCAGTTCTCCTCCTCGCTTTGTCTGGCACTGCCCAAGCAGAGCTGCTGCCGCCTCAGTGAATGAAAGCCATGGTTCTCTACCCGGCCTTCATTGGCATGGGTGGTAAAGGGACCACACACACAGGCTTTCATAGTATTTGACTGGAGACAAGTTCTGTCCGAAAACAGTTTATGCTGAGAGGTGGTCTCTCTTCCCAGTATTTGGCAGAGAAAGCAAGCTTTTGTTGGGGCTTAGCTTTTACATGCCTGTTTGGGTTTCTGGTGTGTTCTTTGGTGCCACACCTGGAATATGTGACATAAAAAGAAAATTTGGAGGACTCACCACTGTGTCTTATCTTGGGTCCTATGTTACATAAGTTTCTGTTGCTTTGACAAAATGTCTGAAATGATCAGTTTGAAAGGAAGAAAGTTTTTATGTTGGTTCATAGTTTCAAAGTCATTTGGTTGTCTTGTTTGGGGCATGTAGGGAGGCTCACTACAGGGAAAACCCAGGTTAAAGCAAAATTGCTCATCCATGGTAGCTAGAAAGAAAGAGAGAAGGGAAGGGCCTAGGGTCCTTATATATCCCTTAAGAGCATGCCCCCAATGATCTAACTTCCTTGTACTAGACTCCACCTCCTAAAGGTGGAGTCCCAATAGGGCTACAGGCTAAAGACCAAGTTGTAAGCATGCTAGGCCAACTCTTTTCAGCCTGTGGAGTTCAGGGAAGTTTCTTTGAAGCCTTGACCAGCAGAGATTGCTGCCATGAGAATCCAATTCATGGTACTTAGAGTGTACATTTCTTATATAATCAAGTTGGGACTTACCTGTGTGTCTCTCCCTGATGGGCTGTGAGTTTCATGAGCACAAAGACCATGTCTGCCTTGGCCAC